GAAGGCTAAGAAAAGGAGACATTGCCAGTCACCTCCATGACAAGCAGCATGTGAAGATGCTGGTAAGCCACAAGCCACGTGGCTAGGTATAGATTTATAGAAATGTATTAATTTAAGATGTAAGAAATAGATAGCTAGAAGGCTGAGCCATTAGGCCAAACAGTTTAAATAATATAAGCGTCTGTGTGTTTATTTTATATGTGGGCTGTCGGACTGCTGGAGCTTGGCGGGACCCGGAGAAAAAACTCTCCAGCTACATATCAGTGGTTGAAAAACCAAGACAATATATCCCCTAAAAGATGATCAATCCCAGAGCAATATACCTCAACATGATAATGTAGATCAATCCCAAGATGCAGGTTTTAGAGAATAATTATAAACATGTTCAAAGAATTCAAGTTCAATGAGGACATAGGTAAACACCTGATTGAATCTAAAAAGACAGGATAAACTCTGATTAAGTCCAAAAAAAAAACACAAACAAATGGCTGGCTGTACAATAAAGACAATTCAGGATATGAAGAGTGAATCTAATTAACAGAAATACAGAAGAAAACCTAAATTGAAATGTACTTGATATGAAACATTCAGTAAGTTAATTAAAAAAAAATACCAGTGGAAAACCTCACCAACAGAATGGGTTATGTAGAATGCAAAAGAATATGATCATGCAATTAAAAGGGGATAATTTTTAAGAAGAACTTCACCAATGTAATATGCAGCATCATTCGGATGATACCAATTATAGGGTTAGAAGATGAGGGAAAAGTCCTGGTCAACACATACAACATATCTTCAAAAAGTTAATGGAATAAAATTCTCTAAATCTGGGGAAATAGATGCCCTTATAGGTAGAAGAAGCCCACAGAACACCAAATAGGACCAGGGAAAAAAAACTTCCTATACCATATTATAATGAAAACATTAAATATAGAGAACAAATGAAGAGTAGTGAAAGCTACAAGAGAGAAGAGGCAAGTCACATATAGGGGCAAATCTATCATAATAACAGGTATTTTTTTCCCAATGGAAACTTTAAAAGTCAGAAGAACTTATAGCAATGTCCTTCAAGTCTTAAGATCACATAAGTCAACTAGACTGTTACACTTGGCAAAACTATCTGTCATACTGAAGGGAAAAGAAGAACTTACTGAAATTAAAAAGCAGCCAAAGGAATTCAACTCTACAAAACATCCCTGTAGAGAATACTGAAAGGGATTCTTCAGACTGAAGGGAAGGGTAACCATATCCAAGAGGTTACAGGAAGAAAACTAAAAATGCTACAATATCAAGTGTGCAAATTAGGACTAAGGAAACTAACACCACAAAAGCAATAAAATGACAGCATTCAATGTCAAACTGTCAATAATAACTTTTAATATCAATGGCCTTAACTCCCCTATCAAAAGATATAGGCTAACCTATTGGATTTAAAAACATTAGCCACCTTTTTGTTGTCTACAGGAAACATATTTTACCTTGAAGTATAGACACTACTTTAGATAAAAAGGATGGGAAAAAATATTCCAAAACAAACAGAACAAAGAAACAAACAGGCATTACAATGCTAGAATCTTATAAAGTAGAGGTAAAACAAAAATTAATCAGTAGAGATAAAGAAGGTCATTTCACTCAGATCAAAGGAATAATCCACCAAGAGGACATTACATTCTTAAACATACATGCACCAAAATCAAGTGTAACCAGTTACATAAAATACTACTTACTAGGCAGAATGCTACATATTAATCTCAATACAGCATTAAATAACATCAGCACTTCTCACTAATTGATAGGTCATCCAGACAGATTTAAAAAGAGAAATCTTATAATAAATGACATCAGAAATTGAATGTATCCAATGAATACCTCTAGAATATTTTATCCAAATACTATAGAGTACACATTCTTCTAAGTAGTTCATGGAAATTTCTCTAAAATGGAACATACATTGGGACACAATGTAAATCTCAACAAATGGAGGAAAATTTTAATAATTCTTTGTATCCTATCTGTCCACAATGGAATACATTTTGAAGTCAACAGAAAAAATAAGCTTTAAAAAGACACAAGCTCATGGAGATTAAACAGTACCCTATTGAAAGAGGAATGAGTCATTAAAGAAATAAAGGCAAAGAGAAACTAATCTGGAACTGAGATGAAAGATTTCTCCCTGGTGGTTAAGTTTCATACATCTAGAAGTTGTCATGCAGGGGGTTGAAAAGACACGAGTAATTGTAAACTCTACAAATTAGTTGTAAACTTTACAAACTACAGTACCTGTCTGCCAGGCAAGATGTGCCTAATTATGCAATAGTGGCATGGCTCTTATGGGAGTAACCAACTGCTCTCTGATTGGAGTCCACTGAACAGACTCTGTCTTTGTTATTACAAATTCTAGTAAAAAATAAAAATTCCGTGCCTGAGAATAATTGACTAATGTTGCTTAGTTAAATAGACCATTGTCAAATTGCCTTCTAATTATTCATGTTTATAGACATAGATTAATGTTACTTTCAGCCTTAATCAGGGAAGCCTCTCTGTGGTGAAAGGCAGTGAATGCAAAGACACACATGACTGATCAAGAAGCTGAGAATGAGTGAAAGTTGAATGCTTAGCCATAAACAAGACATTTATATCACCTTCTCAGGAAGATATGGAAAGAATGTAGGAGCTGGAAGACAGTTCTGAAGGAAGACTAGAATGTGTCATGATGCAGCCCTTTTAATAAAGAACTCAATGTAACTGTGCTTGCTTATCTTATATCTGCCCAAAAGTGGACCTGTCAACAATCAATCATGGATGAAGGAGGGGCATAGGGTCCTATTCACTCTACTGAATTAGTGTTCATTGATAGATTGTAGTAGTAATTGCCATCAGTTGTGTAACTACAGTGATCCAAACAGGCTCTAATATACAGTGCCAAACACAGTCACACAGGGAATCCTGGTTATAAACACATCAGATCTCAAGACAAATCATAAACACAGAATATGGTAAAGGGATCTGTAAAGAGAAGATGAGATTGATGGGGGAGACAAGTGAGGGTAAGCCTAGAGAGTAATCAATGCATTGTGCCCATGTACAGAATGGTTGAAATATAAATTTAATAAATTAAAAGTGTAATAAGAAAGGATTAAAAATCAAATTTTAGGGGCTGAAGACAGCTCAGTTTTTGCTGTGCAAACATGAAGACCTGAATCCAATTTCTAGCATTCCACATTAAAAAAAAACAAACCTATACACAGTGGAAGGCAATTGTAAAGCTATCGCTAAGGGAGCTGAGAGAGCTGTGACCCGGGGCTCACGGGACAGCAAGCATAGTCTAATTCATGAGCTCCACGTTCACAATTGTGAGAGACCCTGTGTCAAAAACCAAGCTGGACAGCTTCTAAAAAAGCATCCCAAGGTTGGCCTTTGGCCTCCTTTATGCATACAGAAAAACAACAAAAACAAAACAAAAGAAAATCTCACAGAACCAAACAAAAATTCAAATTTTATGGAAAGGAAAAAAAAATATGTAACTTGAAAAGTTAAATACTATAAATAAAAATTCAAGACCCTCCAATTTTAACAGAGGCATAATGACATAGAACTCCTGAAATAGAAATGTCGATGGACTGGAGAGATGTCTCAGAGGTTAAGAGCATTTGCTGCTCTTCCGGAGGACCTGAGTTCAACTCCAAGCACCCACATGGTAACTTCACAACAATATGTAACTTCAATTCCATGGAATCTGATGCTCTCTTCTGGCCTCCACAGGCATCAGGCACTTAAGCGGTGCACAGATATACATACAGGAAAAAGACCAATACACAAAAAGTAATAAAGTAAATAAAAATAGTAATGCTGTCAAGTTATAAAAGCATTAAAAGTTTGTTATTTTGGTAGTAAAAATTACAAATATAAAAACCTGTATGTGTACTAACTGAGACTCAAGTGAGTCAGAATTTTAGTGAGCTGTTCATATGTCACCTGGATTTTCACATTGTTGAGCAAATACTCTCCCTTCTCTTTTTAGTTTTATTTTTCATCTTCAGTCCTCGTGATCAAACCCAGATCCCTGCATAAGCTAGCGGAGTGCTTTATCACCTTTAGTATCCTGTGACTGTATCTCCCTATCCATCATGGTAACTGTTTTGGTGATCGACCTGGCTCCTCTTGAGTGTTCTGTAATACACTGACTTCAAACTTCAGATTCTCTTCTTTTCCAAGTACCATGATAATAGGCACACATCACTGTACCAATTAAAACTTCTCTTTCATAGAGACATACTGGTGATTCATGGGAAGCTTTTAGTATTTTGTTTCAGGATTTTATGGTTCACAAAGAATGCTTTGTTAAAACCTATTGCCCTTGTATCTCCTCTTTATAATGACACTCCTGTCACAGTTTTCCTGTTTATCAAGCTTGCCCATTATGTTTGACTCAGAGACTTTGCATTTTTTTTCAATTGCCAAGAATTCTCTTTTCTGAATGCTCTTATCTCTCGCTGACTTCTTTTCCCTTTTATTCAAATTAACAGCTCTGTGTATGTCTGTTGATTTATCCTGAATAACTTTTCTTTCTGGGTCTAGAAATAACAAAACTCTTGTGCTTTTAAGAGAGAACTGATTAATAACTTATCATTGTGGTGATATTTCATTTGTGCTGTAACAAATAAAGCTTGCCTGGAGATCACAGGACAAAGCCAGCCACTATATTAAACATAGATGCCAGGCAGTGATAGCACATGCCTTTAATCCTAGCATTCGGGAGGCAGAGATTCATCAGGATCTCTGTGAGTTCAAGGCCACACTGGGAACAGAGCCAGGCATGGTGGCACAGGCCTTTAATCCCAGCACTAGTTAACCATAGAGGTCTGGAGGGCTGTATAGATAGAAAGTGATAGAGCTGGGCAGAAAGAGGAAGCGATAGAGTTGAGCAGAGAGAGGAAGTAAGATGGCAGGGCACAGAAAGGTGTATAAGGTGTGAGTAAACAGAAAGTAGCTCTCTTGAGGCTTAGGATTTCATAGAGGTAAGAACGTGGCTGGCTTGTTCTGTTTCTCTGATATTTCAGCTTTATTCCCAATAGCTGGCTCTGAGTTTTTTTTTTATTAATAAGACCGTTTATCAATTCCTGTTACATATCATCCCAATGGGTAACAATTAAAACTAGCATTAAACTTACTGAATCAAACAAAGACTGATTTTTGCAAAAGTATGTACATCTGCAAGACAATGTGAGATGTCTTTCATAAAACCACTGAGCATCAGATACTGCACACCAGCTTCAGTTCAATTAAGACGTTTCTTTTAATGTCTTTTGTTTTTATTTTGGGGTATGTGAGGTTGAGATGGGGCATGATTTTGCAGCCCAGGATGGCCTTGACCTCAGGTGGCGGTTTGGATGAGAATGTCTCCCACAGGCTCATGTATGCCAACGCTTGGTTCCCAACTGAGGCCCTGTTTGGTAATGTTCAGGAGGCGGAGGCTGGCTGGAGCACTTTGGAAACATATAGACAAGTAAGGGATAGGAATCAGAAGGGCTGCCCAGTATCATGTGAATTCTGAATCAGTGGCCAATGCCTTCTTCCCTCTGCACTGCTGCATGGATTTCAGGTCGGACTCTTTTGGTTTTGTGTGTTTGTTTTCAATTCCAGAGTTGTCCATTTTTCATTTTGAAGTCTCAGGTCTTTTAACTGGCAGAAACTTCATAGCAGTTAGATAAAATCCTGATTGATAAGACTGCTTTTGCTCATTTAGAGTCTATCTGTACAGCTATTTAAATCTTTGGAACAATTCTGCTCAGTGCTTTAGTTAATTGCCTTACAGAATATAACTGTGCCTCTGCTACTTTAAGAAATAGAAGCTATCTATCTTTCTCCAGATCTTTACACATATTATTTATCAATCTCCATCTTTCCCAATATAAATAAAATACGTTTACTACAATAAGAAAATTAACATAGTCTGGGATGCATGAGATTCTCTCCCAAAAATGTGAAAAATGCATTATAAAATAATGCTTATAATGTAATTTGTTAAGACTACATGAGAAAATTAAAAAAATAAAATTAAGAAAGTCAAAAGGAACTACTTTTGAAAAGATGTTTTAGAAATTCAAGCCTTTTGATTAGTAACCACCCTTAGTACCAGAAACACTTCAAAGTGTTCTCTAAACATTGAATTCCCATCAGTGATGCTGCAAGCCTTAGCTCTCATCTTTCATGCTTACCATTGCAGTAACTTCAAAAGGATGAAAAGAGAATGATAATCTCTCAAAGTAACCTTGTACTCACGCTTAGTAATTGCGTATTTAGCTTTCATGCATTCACAACCAGGTAATGGTCTCATTACACTGTGTTTTAATAAATATAATAATTAACATTTAGTTATAAAAATTCAAATACTCAAGCCATTCAGAAATTAAATTCAGAGCCCAAGGGACATCTAGAAGAAAATGAAAAAGAATTAGATAGTGTCAAACATAGATATCTTCAAAGGAAGGAGGCCATTTAAACTTGTCTTTTACTTACTGAAATGTGCTCTGCATATTTTATTGTTTTCGTCATCATGCTTGTTATAATCCAGCAAGTGAGTGTTCAAAGAACATAAAATCCTACAAATAAATAAACTGAATATGAATGTATGTATAAAAGAGGCAACAATTAGGATCAAGAGCTTGATGTGCCAGCTTTGATTATGTGAAGCAAAGATGTTCCTTAGTGGTGTTTCAGCAATGCATGATTTATTGGAAGATTAAAAACTACAATGTTTTAAGGTTCGTGATTCTTACATGTTGATTTTTCATCATGTAAGGAACTTAAACCCTTATCTAAGTAATCCCAATATCACCAATCAAAATTTTGGGGGCGATCAAGGTTGTAAAATTCAATTGTAAACATAAGGCAAAAGAAGAAATGATAGCAGGCATCACCTTTGAAGTGCTTGTAATCTATCTTAGAGACACACGTGAGAAACTGTCTCAAAACATATATTGGCAAACTTGCAAAGGTATCATAAGGTTATGATTTAACAAGAAGTGGATGAGAGTTCTTCCTGTTGTCACTTAAGTATATGTCTCTCTTAGTCACTGGAGTATTACCCACTCATATAACTGGGGGACTATCTAGATTAGTCTTCATTTGAGTTTATTGAGCACAGAGGACTCATTAGATGTCATGCTCAAGTGCTGGCCCTGATGCACCCAGGGGAAAGCTAAGTCTACAAGCTTTCACACCATGAAGAGATTGTACGATGTAGTACATATTGAACGGGATCTAAGCAGCCTGCCCATATCACATTAATCTCTAAAAGAATGTGAGCCAAGGACGGGAAATATACTTGCCAAGGCACAAATATTTAGAAGGCTTCAGGAAATGAACAAAAAGAAAAATCAGTGAGGTTTAAGATCCAGAAAACATCTCTTGTTTACCAGGACTATTTTGTCACCAGCCTGTCTGCAAAGTAGGTTAATAGAAAACATAACAGATGGACTGTGTTTAATATGAAAATTAACTAATCAGTTTTATCAGGAAGATCTAAGGAACAAGCAAGAGAAAGAGTATGTGAATGTGTGTTTGTATGAGAGTGTGTTTTTCTGTGAGAGTGTGTTTTTCTATGTGTGTAAATGTACATCTCTATATGTGCTTGTTTGTGTGTGTGTGTGTGTTGAAAAGTTAATGCTGAAGTGTAGAATGACCAAAAAAGGGAAGAGTAAACAGGAAGCAATGAGGTACTATGAATGAAAATTTGGGTGACAGGCAAAATTAACTAGAATTACTTTGATTTGTAAATAAAAATAGGGACTGACTACTAATGATAGGATGATAATAATAATCAGTTAAGCTGATTTCTCAAAAGATTTTGAAGACATAATTCTGATATACAACTCTCTCTATTTACCTATTTTATATGTAATTCTCTGTGTTCATCAAAGATATAACTATGGAATTACTTTAATGTAATTAATGTGGTCAATGTGTTTTATAAGTATCTTTAGCAGAGACACAATAAATGGGTTGAGTTTATTCAACAGCAGCATAGATCGATGTAATCATTAGATTTGAGATCTTAAATTCTAAGCAACAACAAAAGGAAAAGGAAAATGTTGGTTTATGAGAGAGAGAGAGAGAGAGAGAGAGAGAGAGAGAGAGAGAGAGAGAGAGAGAGAGAGACCCATAGGCTTCTGTGAGTTCAAAATGCTCATAATGGGGGAGACCTGAGGCAGGAGCTAGTCAAGCATTTTGGCAAAGGTGTTACTTGCCTACTGTGTTATCAGCCTTAGTGAAATGTAAACCTCTAAATTCCGATTTCCAAAGGACGATGATCCTATCTTAAACTGCCTTCTTTGTATAAAGCATGTTCTGTAGGTCAAGATTGTGTGGAGGAGGATTAGCGCTATACAGTTCTGGTATGTAAGGACAACATCCATCCATGCAGCTTAGACCAGACTTACAAAGAGAAAGCAAGCGCCAATCAATGCTGCTTTGAGTGTCACATCGAGATCTGCAGGAACATGTACCCCAAAGTTGTCAGCATTTGTGAACACATCATTGACAAATCCAGACCAGTACTTGGAAATCTTCCCAATCGTAAGCTTTTCGTCCACAGTTTTCACCTTTGAAAAGAAAAATAAGAGGTAGGAGCTTTGCAGATAAACAGAGATAGTTGACATTTCTCAGCATGTTTCTTTCAGGATGAATTTGAGCTGCTGTATTATTTGCCATATCCAAAAGGCAGCTCTATGGTGTTTGTTCCTGTGTGGACATTTACCTCCACGGTGCTCAAGAGTTTCAGACTGCCACAGTTTGTAGACCATTATAAATTGTTTTCCTTTTAGTTTTCTATGCAGATGGAGTAAATAATTAAGGCTAGACAACCACAAGATGGCAGCAGGTACATCTTTTAGTTATGTAGCTAAGCCTGAAGGTACCTGTTTTTTAAACCTGAATTTACTATCATAAAATATGTGGATGAACAACATATATACTCTGTGTGTGCATGTGTATGTACACACACATATTAAAAATATTATTTGGATGAATTAAAGCATTTTATAGGTATAGTTCATAAACTTTAAACATTTATTAACTATGTAATTATTAAAGCTTTTAAACATAATACATTGTCAAGCTACACTTCTATGTTACAATCAGTCAAATGTCAACACATTCCCTTCTAACTAACCATAAGCATTAGAAATCACTTTGAGCTAGTGTATAAACAGGAGATTGAGATGAGTCTGACCTTGAAGTCTACTAAGCCCATTGAGTGAAAGATCTACATCTGATTCCATCAACTATGTATTTATTTATCCTGTTTATCATTATAACACTTATTTAATATAGTTTCTTTTTCCATGTGGTGATAGAAAATAGAAAATAGAGAAGGTTTCTTAGGACATAGCTATAGCATGGAAACTAAACCCAGATGTTCAAATCTCATCAGTCATATTAAGAAGCCATGTAGCTAGGTGGTGGTGGCGCACCCCTTTGATCCTAGCACTCAGGAGTCAGAGGCACTAGGATCTGAGTTCGAGACCAAATCCAGCCTGGTCTATAGAGCAAGTTCCAGGACAGCCGGGGCTACACAGAGAAACCCTGTCTTGAAAAACTAAAAACAAAAATCAAAACCAAAAGAACCCAAAAAAAAAGGCTATGTCACACGCTTTCTCAATTCTAGGCCTAGGACAAATCACTTAACAAAGTCTGTGTTCTCAGTGTGTATAGGCTCCTCCAGAAGTCTGGAAAACATATCTGGGTGGGATGCATACAAATAAAAAAAAGCAGATGCTTTAAAAGCTAATGGTTTTATTAAACGCTGCCTATAATGTATGTTTACAATAATCTGTTCAGAGAGCATATTGTTGCTGCAGGTTAAATTTGCAATGGCCCATTTTAATATTCAGGTCCAGAAACCTAAGAGTACATGATTGTACAATCTTACAAATGCAGTTTTATATAGTGACACTCTAGTGGAGTATGTTCTGAAATGAGACCTGAATGGGGTTAAATGTCCATCAAGCAGATCCACAAGAAAGGGCATAGATAATTTTGGTGATCAAAAAACATATTCACTCTGTCCCATTTGTGCTTTTAATTTCCTATGAATCAACCTCATCAAACATAGGGTTACTATGATTTTTAATAATCACAACATATTGGTTATCTAAAAATCACAATTCTATCTCTCTCTTTCTATATATAAAGCTTGATGTTCAAAGGTTCAGAGGCTGAAGTTAAAAACAACAAGACATTCACTCCTTTAGGTAATGATGTATAATAGTTTATCTACTGTATTTAGCAAATATGTCAAGAAGTTTAATTGTATATCTCTCATTTTCATTTATTAAAGTTTCTTTGAAGAGCATGTGCGGTGATCTATGACAGATAAAATGGCTAAGGCCAGTACATTGTCAGAGCATTATTTTGGCTAGAAACCCAGGGATTTAGAATCTCTGGAGTAATGGCTATTATTATTGACATGGAAACAAGATTTATGAGAATATTACACTAACATGCAATTCTTTTCTTTTTTCTTTTTTGGTTTTTCGAGACAAAGTTTCTCTGTGTAGTTTTGGTGCCTGTCCTGGATCTCACTCTGTAGACCAAGCTGGCCTTGAACTCATAGAGATCCACCTGGCTCTGCCTCCTGATTTCTGGGATTAAAGGTGTGTGCCACCACTGCCCGGCCTAATATGCAATTCTTAAAATATATTTAAGGGATACATCATGATTTTTTTTAATTAAAGATTTTTTTAAAATGTACATTGGGGTTTTGCCTGCATGTATTTCTGGGTAAGGATGCCTGATCCCCTAGAAACATAGTTTCAGACAGTTGTGAACTGCCTTGTGGGTACTGGGAATTGAACCCCAGTCCTTTGGGAGAGCACCCAGTGCTTTTAATCACTGAGTCATCTCTCCAGCCCCATGATTTGGATATTTTATAAACTGAATTATGATTCAAGAAATCAGGACCTAAGCATAACTCTCTTTGTCATTTTCATACCTCGAAGTCCACATCACCGAAACAGCCACAGGTTGCACAAGGACCAACAATTTTCAAAACATCTTCTTTGTTTGCATTTTGGATTGTGAATCTGGGTTGAAAGGGGTCCCACTTCTGTGCAACGTAACCAACTGTAGTGCCAGGAGGGGCTTGGATTTCCAGCTGTAAGAGAAAACAGTAAAAAATGAGATTTTTCCAAGGTTATTGTGTATTAATCACATAAGAATGTCAACTTATATTTATACAATATTTTTTGTGAAATAACTGATATATTATAAGAGTCATTATAAATATATATTGTTTGGCTGGGCAGTGGTGGCACACGCCTTTAATCCCAGCAATCAGGAGGCAGAGCCAGGTGGATCTCTGTGAGTTCGAGGCCAGCCTGGTCTACAGAGCGAGTTTCAGGACAGGCACCAAAACTACACAGAGAAACCCTGTCTTGAAAAACCTATATAATATATATGTATGATTAAAATTGGTGTTTTCTTTTGACATTTTGTATTTTGTCATGGGAATGGTAAGAGTTCATTACACTGATCTGTTTAGCAATCTCCTCTAAACACCTTGGTTTCCTTGGCATGGTTACCATTTCATATTATCTGTAACAGTGAGGGAATTATAACTTTTTAGCATGGACAAACTCAGTAATCACTTCTCAGTAGTTATGTAGCCATAACACATAACTATTTTAGACATTATTTTAGCATTTGTGTGTAAGCCAAATAAAATCCTTTTGTAAGATATTTTGGGGAGGGGGCAAATAGAAAATGTTTCTTTTGAAGTAAACAAGTTTTCTACCTATTTATATCATTTTTTACCTCATACTAAATTTATCATCTTGTGTATATGTCTGCAATGTTCTTGGATAGACTATATATATATGTGTATATATATATATATATGAATATATAGTGTATTATATAAAGTGTATTTTGGATATATATGACTTATTTAAAATGAAAAGTGGTGTTTTCTTTTGACACTTTGTATTTTATCATGGAAATGATAAGGATTCATTGCACTGATATGCTTAGCACTTCCCCATATTTTTTATATATATGTATATATTCATATATATGTGACATACATATATAGTCATGTATGGCCTATGTCTACATATGGCATATGTAGTAAAAATACAGAAATTCACTCTTTCCCACATGTGCTTTTAACTCCATATGAATCAACGTTGTGAAATCTATATAATGATATAAATATATATAATGTCTTAGATATTAGAACACACACACACATATATGTATATACTTCTAATCCACAGAATAGAAAGTGAAACAATATTCTAGTTCACAGAGACATCATATCAAATTGAGTAGAAAATTATTATTATAGCTCTAATAACAATGATAACCAATTATGGTTTAAAATAAAATAGTTGCATAACATCACTCTTTTTCATACCATGAGTTTATTGAATGTGCAAATGGTGTTATTCTGAGCAGAATAACATCCAGGGAAGATAACACATTAGAAGAGGCTAAGTGTCATGGCACCTCCTGGGCATTGCTATTGTCAGAGAAGATGACAGTATTTGTGTAACAGGAACCTGTAGATATTACAATTACTTGGCTAATATACTGTTTCAGGAGGCTATATCTCATTTGTAGGATGCAACGGGTTCCCTTTACTATTTAATCCAAAGCAAGCTACCATAATTATGGGTTACAAATGGAAAAGGTGCCTAACCAAATCTTCATGTTTTCCTTATCCTGAAAGGGAAGATATAAATTCAAACAACCGTTAGGTTGACTCTCTCATAGCTCCAGATGAATGCCACTTAAAGGAATAATCTTAAAAAGGAAAGATGCTCAGAGGCAGTGACCAACCTCTTGTAGGTAGCAAGGGCACCAGCAGCTGTTACACCTTAGGGGCCTGTTCACTGTAATCACCTCTCGACCCGAGTTGTCTGTGATCCTCAGGGTGCAGGCTCTCAGCGTGGAACATACATTACGGTTAAAACAGATGCTTTCCTCCACTGCAAAGTAAATTCTTTGTCCCAAGCTGTTTTTGATCTCATATTTGTTGGAAGTCTCAGTGCCGAGTATCACTATCAGAAAACACATCTTATAAAGACATGGAATCACCACTTGTCAAAAGTAAAAGAGTATGAGGAGAACGTAGAGTTGCTGCAGATTTGCTGATAGTCTCATCTCCATACACATCTATTTCCAGGCTCTAAACTGAGAAGACTCAGCCTCAGAAGTCAAAGCAAGATCTGAGAACAAAACTAACAACTTAACTCGTTTTTATTCTAGAACTATGAACAAGTATGTTGTGACATCTTTCAACCAATGAACAGATTGTGTAAAGAAGAATTCATTACTCAAATAATAACCCTATTATTCTTCTGCAACTAATTGGGACAATTTACAGTGGTATTTTCCCCTGTATTTAAAATGTCCTTTAACATCCACAGTAGTGGTACAGGCCAACTTCTTCAGTTCTGACATATTTTGACATAACATAGGATCTTATAAACAGGAAACACTCAAGCAGTTTGAAATTATTAATCATGCTTACACACATTTATCTACTGATAAGTTGTGTGCCTATTTTATTGAGTCAGTTGTGAAGCAATAAAACAGTAGCATTTGTGTTGATGAAATTTTAATATGCTCTCAACTGTGATTCCTCTTCTCAGAATGTTAAGAAATTTCAATGATTAATATCCATGGGATATTAATTACTTTGTCACTTTCAGATTAATTTTATTGCAGTTTGGATGTCACTGTTATGAAAGACTTGCTTTTATACTTATAGTTGTGCTTAAACTAATAAATTTAATTTTGGTTTAAAAAATAGGTCAAGCAATCATTTGATCTTTCCATCCATTGTTTATAAGATTTTAAATGTAAAGAAACTTCTGAACAGTAAAGCCTTTTCAGTAGTTTTAATAAATGCAGAATCTGATGTACTTACTCCCGAGAAGTTCCACCTGCTGATGGATGATTATCAGGTCCAACTGCAATAGGATCATACAAAGGAAGTGAAAACCATTCTGCCACAGCCCTTGCTATTCAACAGGAAATCTGTCATTTTCATTAAAAAGTTTCGAACATTCACAATTTATAAGGCAAGACTTAGCCATAGGAATGAAAGCAAACTCTGAGAAGAAAATTATTTAATTTTTATTCAGGATCTATGAACAAACATGTACTGTATTTCAACTAGAGGACAAATTTGGTAAGGAAGAATTTATTACTCAAATAATTACCCTATAATTCCTCTCTGAGGCTATGTCTCGCTTACAGGATGCATGACCTCTCTTCACAAAATGTTATTGTTCAACTAATAATTTATAGAACTCTTAAAATTCCAAGTCAGAATTGCCAAGAACAAGAAAAGCAACAGTATTTACGCCAACTCTGTGATAATGAAAAAAATAGGTGATACGTCAAACAGTACATTTAGGATATTTTTAAATAACCTGTGAATAATAACATAGACGACATTTTAAAATGTCCCCAGATTTCTTGTGAGGAAATGAACCCAGATGAGCATTGGGCATCCAGCTTCTCCCAGTGCCTGTATATTCACGACTCTGTCAGTTGGCACCATGCTCCTCTCAGGGAGGAAATATCTGTAAGCTGGAAAATGACATTTTATAAATAGTTCTTATTCTTCTTCAGGCCAGGGAAAACAAAACTTTCAGACACCCACAGAACGTCAACTGAAGCAGAATAAGTGTTCCGTTACCAAATATCTGCCACAGCATTTGGGCTAGGTAATTAAAAAGAAATTATGCAAGTCAAATTGCAGTTTACAAATTTATTTGATACAGTGTGTGTTTGGGTGCATGATATATGCTGCACATACCACAGTGCCCATCTAATAGTGAGAGGATATATTTTAGCGTTGTTTCTCTTCTTCTCCCTTTATGTAGATGCTGGGAATGGAGCTCATGTTCCCAGGCTTGCAGAACCCTTACCCCCTAGCCATCTTAGCAGCCCATATATTACCTTTGCAAAGGAAATATAAAATACGAGATTTAGAACAGCTTCTTTTTTTTGTTGTTGTTGTTTAATCAGCACTCATAGACCTACTAAAGCTAAATCTTGAGCCTTGACTGAGCTGCTGATCACCGCATTTCTAATGCTTCATTTTTAAACCCGTCTTGACGTTGTTTTCACTGTATTCTCTATTCATATATGCAAACAACGCAGGAATCTTTAAACCAAGGCAATTTTTCATAAACTTTGGTATTGATTGTAAATCTACAACTCCAGGAAATTTGAAGCTGTATTCTTTCATTTTCCTTGTATATCCTCAGGTGAGGTAAACCTTTTCTCTTATTGTCTTAACACTGATAGAGAACTACAATGTGGCCTCTTTTTAAAATCGCCAATACTTTTTACAGAAGTCATTTTATGACTCGAGATATTCTAAAATCATATTAGCACTCAAAGCAAAGCATCTTGAAGTGGAGTAAGTTTTTGAGGGTATCACATTACTTCTGTCATCTTGCAGAAAATGGAGGTTTTCTTTGTGGGCAAAGAAGTGGGAAACTTCAGAAAGAATGTGGTTATTAGCTCTGAGAAGAGTTAAATTAGAGATGAGCACTGAGGTCAGGGATAAGGTGTCTGATGGAGCTGATTTTTTTTTTCTGTGTCCCACCTGGCCCGTGGTCAGGACAAATCTTTTTCACTTGCGTCCCCCAAGTAAACACACAAAGGCTTATATTAATTAAACCTGTATGGCCTAATGGCTCAGGCTTCTTGCTAGCTAGATCTTACATTTTAAATTAACCATTTCTATAAATCTATACTTTGCCATATGGCTCGTGGCTTACCAGTAGCTTTACATCTTGCTTCCTCTGTGTCAGGCTCATGACTTGTGACTCAGCCTTCCTGTTCCCAGAATACTCCTCTCTCTTTGTCTCGCCTATACTTCCTGCCTGGCTACTGGCCAATTAGCACTGTATTTATTAACCAATCAGAGCAATACATTCACAGCATACAGAGTGATATCCACAGCAGTCTGAGTTTAAGGTCTTTGAACATTGGTGTCATGGATCCAGTTTTAGTCCTAAAATTTGAAGCTATATAGATCTACTCCACAGAGAAAAGGGAAGCTGTGTCTCTAATTTCCAACAACAACAGATATTAGCTGAATGATGCCCATAAAGTATTTGTTGTTCTATAGATTTTAGTATATTGTCTTACTGTATAGTCAAAAAAATAAATAAAACCCCCAACTATATCTAGATGGATACCCCAGGAAATTAGGGACCTGCACTAGTCACAGAGCATGCAGATGGCCACCCATCCTATTCCACTGGTGTGGCTAACCTAACTTTAGGAACAAGGGAAGCAATTCCCAAATGACACCATGACTTACAACACCTGTGCTCCCTGCTTTCCTCTCTCTCACACTTTTGTCATCCTCTGTAAGAAAAAGTGTGTGGTGGTATTGTGTTCCCCAAAACATTGTGCACCCTAATAAACTTTTCTGGGGTCAGAGACAGGACAGCCACTAGATACAAAGGCCAGAAAATAGTGGCACACACACCTTTAATCCTAGCATTCTAGAGGCAGAAATCCATGTGTTCAAGGATACAGCCAAGCATGGTGACTCACGCCTTTAATCCCAGGGAGTGATGGTAGAAAGGAAAGATATATAAGGCATGAAGACCAGAAACTAGAAGCATTTGGCTGGTTAAGCATTTGGCTGGTTAAGCTTTTAGGTTTGAGCAGCACAGTTCAGCTGACAGCCATTTGGATATGAGGACACAGAGGCTTCCAGTCTGAGGAAACAAGATCAGCTGAGAAGTTGGCCAGGTGAGGTTAGCTGTGGCTTGTTCTGTCTCTCTGATATTCCAGTGTACACCCCAATACCTGGCTTAGGTTTGATTTATTAATAAGAACTTTTAAGATTCCTGCTACAAAAGTGAACTGATCTCTGTCTGTGGGCAAGTCCCCTGCTTTTGACAGTGCTGATTTGACTACTGCAATTTCCTTTCCTTAGTCCCGAGCCCACTAATAACCTGTCTTAAATGGACCCTTTCCATTGTTTCCTGCTGGCTGATGGACTAGGAGTCAGTAGAAATTTTAAATAGACTAAAATATACATTCAGATTTCAGGACAAATAAAGTGATTTCCAAATACTGGGACAATGAAAACATTGTGGCAGTTTTGAATATATAACTTCAAAATAAATTAAAAAAGAAGATTACAAGTATTGATTTCATTGAATGCATTTAAAAACAAATGGAATGTTTATATGTGATTTTATCACCGTGTTGATAACTAAGTTTTAATATTTATACTCTGATGCTACAGGATTAAATATTAGTCACTATTGTGAATGTGTAAATTTAATCTAGAAGGTATCTACTAGCTTCCCCTTAGATTTATCCTACTATATATACATATGTTTATTTTCAAATTGTTTGACATAGTTTTCTTGAGAGTGAGTGGATAGAATTTATTTACAAATAATATTGTACGAGTTTATATAACCATCTCATTTTTAACATAGAAATATTTTTCTTATATTTTCTGATTTATTTCTTGAATTATGCAGTATTTCCAAATATTCATAGTTTTAACTAGTTCTTATGTCTTTCAGTTGAAAAGTTATCACACACAAAGTCTTTTAACAGAAATTCTCTTACAGACTTAAGTGAAATACATAGAGCCTTCACATCTACATGCTAGTGTCTTTGATACAGAAGGGTACTCTGCACTCTATCAAAGGGGAAATATAAACACCAGTCCAACCACAAACCCTTTGATCTACAAAGGTGTCCTGCCTTTAAAATATGCTAGTAATGGTGGCACATAGCCTGTGGAAGTAACCAGCCAATATGTGATTTGACTTAAGGCTCATTCCATGAGTTGGACTGAACCTGACACTACCTGGGTGACCAAAAACCTGAGACTAGATATCCCAGGGATCTACAGTAAAAATAAATACTATTGTTCTTAAAAAAAAAGTGTAGCAATAAAGTGACTCATAAAGGCATTCAACTATACTCATAGATCAGTTCCTTACTCAATCATTAGAAGATCTTCCTCCTGCAGCAGATGGGAACAAATACAGAAAAGACCCACAGCCAGACATGCAGAGAGGGAGAGATCTTGGAACACTCAACCCTAAATGGATGTCTCCATCAAATCCCTCCCTTCAGGCCTCAGGGAACCCTCCTGAAGAGGAGGCAGAAAGAGTTTAAGAGCAAAAGGGGATGGAGGACACCAAGAAAACAAGGCCCTCTAAACCAACATGCTTAAAATCATATGAACTCACAGAGACTAAGGCGGCATACACAGGGCCTGCATGGGTCTGCACCAGATGGTGCCCTAGAGCTGAAAAGAGAGCTAGACACATGTCTCCATCCCTAACCCAGAAGCAATCACCAACTGATAATCACTTGCAAATGAAAATCTAATTTTGTCCAAGGGAGTCTCACTGGGGAAACAAACTACTCTTAAAGGTAGGCTGCATGCCCAGCAGTAGACGGCCAACAGAAAATGAATTCAATGGCATCTTCGGAGGTTACTTGACACACAATGTAGTGTCAGGGCTTTTCCTTTAAAAAAAAGTTATATATTTTTAATTTATGTGTGTGTGTGTGTGTGTGTGTGTGTGTGTGTGTGTGTGTGTGTGTGTGATTTTCCTTCTCTCTTTTTAACCTTACAAGTCCTTGGCATACGTATTATGGCTTCCACTTTAATGTTTTTATGAAATTCCTGAGTGTGTGAATGAGTGGATCTTTGTTTCTTGTGCCATCTCTTGGGCTCTTTTCCTTTTGTTTGTTTGTTTTGTCCAATTCCTATGTGATAGTTTTGTTTTATCTTATGATATTATATTTATTTTATTGTTATCCCTTAGAATCCTGTTTATTTTCTAATGAAAGACAGAAAGAAGTGGATTGAGAATAGAGGGGAAGGGGAGTGGGATTTGGAGGAGAAGAAGATGGGGAAACTGTTTTCAGGATATATCATTTGAAGAAAAAGTATATTTTCAATAAAAGAAAAAACAGTTAACACATACAAAGTCATTTAACAGACGTGCTCTTACAGACTTACATGAAATACTTTTGAAATCCCTGCTTATCTTTCTATATGTATACAGCCTAAAGTAAACCCATAGTCTTTTGATACAAAATGAGTAAGTTATTGCCTTTAGAAGTAAAATGTAAACAATTTATGGCATATTTTGTTTTCTGGAAAAATATTAGCAAAGATGTGTTTTTAGAATATGTACTGCATTTAAAACTGAAGCTCATGAGTCCTTCTGTCTATTTATTGAAGGTTAGAACATGCATTCACGTCAAGCATCTGGCCACGGTGTGTCATCATTCATGGGTGGAAGAAGAATATGTGATGACCATATGTGATCATCAAACCTCAGCCCTCTGGCGCTGGTATATCACTTTTATATTTGGCAAAACCTTGTCTGACAACGCTCCCAAACAGCTTGCAGCAGTTAATCAACTCTAGCCAGCTATTACAGCTGATCCTTTTTGCAGATGGAAGATGGGAGGTTAGCTTCTCCAGCTCCTTTTCGTAGCTCCCTGAGCCCGCCGGTCTCTATAGAACATTTGTCTGCCAGTGGGCTTCTGGGGAAGGCATCTGCAATTATAAACATTTTCCCAGGAACATATGCTACAGGCAGCTTAGGCCCTATCAGGCATAGCAGAAATCTCTTGTACCTTAAGGGAATTAACACAGAGATTTGATTTTGATAAAAGAGATAGACTTTATGTTTGAAGGAATGCCAAACAAGTGAGCATGGCAGCAGATGTGCTGACATCTCAATATTAGTGTTAGAGTCTTTCTAATCTTGGGTAGGATAATGTGCTAAAATAACAGTAATACATCCACATCTGAAGAGCGATTTCTATTTGTTTGCCACTGGACAAAGTTATTACAAGGCTTGAAGTGCTGTCCGTCCTGCCATGAACAGCAATGGTACCTAATAGTATGCTATGATCATCCAAGCAGGTTGGCCTGGGGACCCAGGAACATCGGAAGACAGTACTGTGGCCTTGGTAACTTGTTTTCCCTTGGTCTTTCACGTTGCTTTTGAGATCTGTTGAAAAGTCTCAACACCTTGCAGAAGTCTCCATGACTGCCTTCTCCCTTAAAGATGAGTGTTTTCTTGGCTTTTGGGCCATGCTTTGCACTTTTTAGTCAACATTTTTTTTGTTTGACCATTAACTAATAAAATGTTTGAGTGACAGGGCTAGGTTTTATGCTTCTTCTGCACCTTGAATATACAAGTGCTCAATAAATGTTTAATTAATAGCTATAGGTGGCCTGGTCTGATAATTCCTGGAGAATTTCTGTCTCCCCACCTTGAGCAATGAGCAGAAGGTAGAATAACATGCTAAATGGCAAAGTCAAAACTATTTAGTCTCATTACTCTGTCAAGTAAATAAGGACAGATAGCAATAGCATAGAATAAAATTCTATCTAAATAACAAAAGTAAATAAAGTCAGTACCTTATAACTTCACGATTTGTAATGCATTCTGTACTGCATTAAATTATTGGTTTAAAGACAAGAAACTGAGTTTAATTGTTTTTAAAGGGAACACACTAGTGGAAATGGAAAGACGTGCAAACCTGGCTTAAATATTCTAGCCCAGGGGGAAGACTGGTTGTTGGCAGGAAACTGCTTGGCTGAGGGGCATCCGACTGCTGCCTTGCTTGTTTCCTGGGATGGGAAGAAGCTGCTCGAGAGTGTTGATCTGGATTTGTGACTTCAGGAAGAAAACCAGGCAGACCTCCAGGCTTTTGATTCTGTGAATCTGCAAGACAATGGATATCTTATTTTTTTTTAATGAAATGTAATTTATTTTTTTTATTTCTGAAGGAATGCAGCATTCTCTCTCCCCCCCCTCTCTTTTTTTTTTTTAGATTTATTTATTTATTTTATGTACAAGTGCTCTACTTGCAATGTACACCTTTATGCCAGAAGAGGGCATCCGATCCCACTAGAGATGGTTGTGAGCCACCATGTGGTTGCTGGGAATTGAACTCAGAACCTCTGAAAGAGGAGCCAGTGCTCTAAACTGCTGAGCCATTCCTCCAGCCCAAGAATGGATATCTTTATGTGTGTTACAATTTAGGTTTTGTTTACTTTTATTTAATCTTTCTTTTTTTTTCTTTTTGATTTAGATGGAAGTTTGTTCCTTGATTGATGCGTCTCTCATTTTAGTGCATTTCCTTTGTTTTCACTACTCCGTATCACCACTACTTGACTTCTCAGCCAGAGAAAAAGGAATGTAGAAGAATGCTGGTAGTTGTGAGAAAAAGTTGAATAACTTGGCTTAAATAATTGGCCTGGAGATACATTTCGTGTGTAAATATGTTTGTGTATAAGTGCAATGAACACCTGTTCAAAAAGATGAGAAAGCATAGATCACAAAAGCAAAATAAATGGTAATAGACCTTAGATAGTCTGTACTCATAAAAGGATAGCCTTAGACTTGAATTTTTTCCTTGGGATTTTGACCACCTTTTAAGTCATGGTCTCCTTTCTTTGAATATTATGGGGCTACCTTGTACTTTACGAAGACGCTTTGTCTAATTTATTAGTCATAGTATTATAGCCCAGTTTAATTGAATGGATCTCATATTTCAGCCTTCATCAGAACCACCTGGGGTGGGGACCTATCAAAATGGGTGTTGGGCCTCTATCCAGTGACTGATTCAGAAACTGGGATGGGAGGCTTGCAAATTTGCATTTGATAAGATCTCAGGTAAAGCTAATAGTCCTAGTGGTATGAGGATATGCTCTGCAAACTCACTGTTAAACTGAGTAAGCTTAAAGAAGCTCACAATTTATCTGTGAGTGTCGTAGCATAATTTTGGAACTGTATAAAGGTCACTCTGTTAGTTTAGAGATATCAACTAATATCAATATTACTGCCAAGTAAATACGCTTCTATTTCAGTCATCTCACACTGAACTCTGGAGGCTTCCTATTTATTGTGTATTAGTCTATGGATGTTATGCATAAGCCCCAAGCAGGAATATCTTTAAAATTATAAATGATAGCTTTCTACTAGTTTCCCCATTCCATTCTCAGAAATATCCTGTGTTGTTTCCTTCATTAGATGCTAAATTTTTCCCATAGACTATCAGTGTTCATGCTTTTCATCCTCATAGAGTACCAAGGTTCTTTTTTTTAATGTGAATAAATTTACGTGGTTTATCAAAGTTGTGTTGCTTTAGCTTAGCTGTTGATTCACAAGAAAGTGAATGACCAAGTTTTTTTTTTTCTTTTTAAAACTATAGCAGGGTTCATTATGAAAGCAAGCACAGTTAAGCATCACATTGTTTAACAACATTAGTATTTTCTGAGAATATGTCAATCATTAGGTGATTCACTGATGTGTAAAGGTCATGGAGTATGTTTAAAAGCTAAACAGACTCTAGCATTATTAGGAAACAGCATTTTATAGACCATGGTCTTTTTGGCTCATCACAGACTGAAATGTTGTTAAATAACATGTACATGAATGAAACAAAAGAATTGGTTCTGGATTGATACAAAGAATAAATTTATAACAGCTGCATAAGATTTGAGCAATTGCTCTCACTGATCATATAGTAAAATTGGGATGCTATATAAATACTTAATATAAATTACAGTCATCTTATTTCTACAAGAATAGCCAGATTTATGAAAGTTTTTGTGTGTTTGAGGTATTTTTCTGTATCTTGAAATCACAAATACAGTTTAAAAATGTACTGGGATTCTTTCTAAGATAATAAACTCCCATCATTAAGAAAACCCAAGCACAGTCGAACAGGGATGAAGGAACACAGATGAATGGCCCTTCGGACAAAGGAATAAATTGATTCTAGTAATGACAAGCTTGTTAAGCTTGTGCATACAGTAAGTGTTAATGAGGGGCAATTGCCAGATGACTCATTTATTTATTTACCCCTAAGGTTGTAGGAACTGGCTGGGTTTATATTAATATTGATGTCAGTTACTAAGTTTGCATTTGTCTGTGGCATTTGAGATCTGTCCAGGACTTGCTTGAGGATTAAACGAATGAAGAAACGTGTCCTTTGGCCCCTCTGTAAGAGAACTTGTAAGTGATAAGGCTACAGCAGTTGCCTTCCCACAAAGACTCCCCCAGAACTGCTGTGACCTCGGGAGCAGACCCAAAAAAGGGAAAGGGATAACTCCTTTTCTTCTTAGGAAAAGACACTGGAAGGGAATTCCAAGAGGGAGCCCCAAGATCAGGAAGACAAAGTAAAACTGTCTTAAAATCAGAGGGGCGCTACCACCAGAGAAACAGCTGGAAAACAGTTAATGCAACAAACACCTCTTCCAAACTCAGTGCCCAAAACAGCTGTCATCCTCATTTTTCAGAAAACAAAACCAAAAGCAAAGTAGTGGCAAAATCATGATCTAGAAAATATTACGTCATAAACAAAGTGTGTGATGGTAGCTCATGTCACCATAGAGAGGTATGGTTATTGGCCAGAAAGGGAACATTGTCAGCTGCTGGAAGCATTCCATATCTTGCTCTTGGTGGTGGTTACATGAGTATATCTTTGTTTAAGAAAATCATGAGACCTGTGTTTGGTGTTTGTTATGAACATGCAAAATTCCACAATAAAAGTGTGGTTAATTAATAACAAAGGTTGTTAGACTATTACATTATCTCTATTGTCATTTTCTTTTTTAAAACATTGGTAAATTACTCCAAGTTTATCTTGTAAACTACGCTGCATTAACACACCACAATAGGTTATTAAACGTCTGGAAAGGGGCTACATATATCCCTGACCAGGGCTACTAGGTTTCTGACCTAACAGCAGGTCCAGAGAATGCCTTTCCATGCATTTATTTTTACCAAGTGAAGAGGTTCCAGATGATATCCATTTCTTTGATCTATAGCATCCAGTTCAGGCTGTCTTGGACTTGTCTATAAAATGCCCCATTAACCTGGCGTCTCTGAGGAGATAGTATCTGACAACACAGTTTCATAGGCCAAAGACCACTATGAAGTTATGGTCATATCTTTAAATATTTCTGAAAAATGTATCCTCAAACATATTTTAGGCAAAAATGAGATAAGGCGATTGCTCAAACAAGATTTCCTATTTAAATGATACCTTCCTGTCACTTTGATTTTATAATAAATGTTCTATCTGAGCCATAGGCTTAATGCTTTTAGCTGGTCATAGGGATGCCCGTTTTTATCTTAAAGTTTGTCTCTAGGTTTCATGTATGTTTAAGTCACAAATACAGTCCTTTTCATTACTGAACATTATATCTTTTTGGAAGATTAATCATAATATTGCTTTCCAGTCACATTTTCTTCAAAGACCCATACCACCAGATGAATAAGAAACTCCTTTGAATTGCTATCTGGCTTTGAATTTCTATCTACTCTTTTAAAAATGTATAACTAAACCATCAATATTTTACACACTCTGCAACTCTTCCCCTTCCAGGCCACTCTGTTGCTGCTCTTAATTTACAAAACGAGAGGCATTTGGACCGTGGTTGTGCCAGTCTTCCAGAAACATTTCTCAAGGTTTGTGTTTGTTTGTCTTCAAGTAGAGACTGTTACGCACACATACAGTAAAATTCAATAGTTTTCTCTTCCTGATGTATTTTATAATCTGTCTCTAAGCTTTCCCAAGGATTCTCAGACCTATACTAAATAAGAATGAGAAACACAAAGACTGCTTAATTTGTTTAATAGGTGTCAAAGATGTGTTTATGAAGCAAACAAGATTATATTCACAGTATTTGTATTAAATCATCTATTTAGATAATTTAGGAGAGTTTACATTTGTAGAGTCATCTCATTTGTGAAGAGTTTTAAATGCTTCCCTAAATTCCACAAATCAAACTTCTTCATTTTGAAACTTTTCATTATAGTGTAGAGTTTAATAGTGTTTTATTTTGATAATTGAATAAAATGGATTATAATTTGATTTTTAGAAATATTTTTTCTGTGATTGTGTCTTATTATCCCTGACAAGACCTTATCCTTCATCTTTTGACATCTGTCTTAATTAAAACAGATGATTCAACAGTTTTAGGGTTCTGAGTGAAACTGTATACCCTTTTCTCCTACTGTTCCTAATAGATCTGCTTGCTTAAATTGGACGATTTGATCCCTTTGATTGATTTTTTATGAGGAATTTACTACCAAAGTATTCTTAAAATATTTTAAGCTTATAAAGTAAAATATTTAGTTTGACTGCATCAAGTTGAGGCTTCACTGACTTTCCGTTCTTCACTGGGTTGTATGCCACATGGCTTTGAACAACAGATGAGCAATTACAAATGTTGGAATAACATTTTTAGCTGTCTATGTAGAATCTTTCCTTTGGATTCATTTAAATTTGGAATTTCATTCCATTACTGGGTTTAAATTAAATATTTCCATTCTCAATTTTGCTTTACAGCGTCTCTAATTTGCTAAGTTTGCATTCACAGCAGTGAAAACACATTTTTACATCAGAACTTTTTACATTCTTTTGACTAAAATGTGTGTGTATTTTAAGTTAGAACAAAGTAAACCTTGGAGTAAAATACTTCAAATTCCAGTGCTTAAGAGCAATAAATAACAGCATTTAAAGTAACGACCTCACTGGTTATAATACTTCAAGAGCCATGCACGTGTAGTTATAATGTGTATAAGGGCCTATTTAGTTGCTGACTAGGTTTTCTCTTACCTTTAGAGGCCATGGCAGTCTGAGTACTTCTTCAAAGGCAGCCAGGTGAAAAGGCTTTTCCTGTTTCAACACGCAGAGAACAGAATGAATAAAACTCCTGACACTCGCTGTCTGCCTCATGTCAGCTTACAGACAACAGAAACACAGTGCCTCGCTGGTTCTAGAGTGTTTGATTTTATCTTTTGGACAATAGGGGGAGATGAAGCCATTACCCAAGGTGAAAAAAAGGCCTACTTGGAAAAAGTCATATAACTCGGTGGCTAAAAGAGCTACTTAAAAATAACAAAGAGAAAGGAAAACACATTCATGTCATTGTGCTGCCGCTTAGGTGTGTGGTATGTTTTGAAATCGGATGTGGTCTGTTACGTTCTCAGAGTCAGAGGCTGTGTAACTCATCCTATCACCTGGGAGGCTGTCACAGATGGAAGCACAATTCTTTTTATGTTCAAATGTTTGAGCCACATTCTTTCTTATTTTGTTGTGTGATTTCTGTCCAACTCACACCCCACAAACAAACAAAACAAACACAAAAGGATGCATTTCCCACCTCTCATGCAGATACATAATTTTTTTATTTTCAGGTGTAAATTAAATGTGATTAATCATGAGGATCAGGAAACACGATGTTTCAGTAGCTTCACACAGCTAAGCAAAGCCTACACATAGTTCACTCATCATGTACTGAAAATGAAATTTCGACCCTAAAGAGTCAGCTTGTGGTTGTGAGTGCCGCTTCCTAGGAGGATACCGGGCTTTGCTCACCCAGCCAGCCTGGATGCTATAGCACAGGATACAACACAGCAGTGTCGACTCTAAAATTAGTGCAGTTGCCTCAGGAGGAAGAGGGGCAAAAACCTGACACTTTAATAGGATACATATTAAAAGTCTGGATTTCTTCCTTGATAGGTAACTTTTTGTTGTTGTCTTATTTTGCTTATTATGTCTGGGGCTGAACATAAATATCTTATTTAAGTTTTTGTTCCAAAGAAAAGCTATATTTACATTAAAAAAATAAACTTCATACATTTTATTGGCATTTGCAAAAAAAAAAAAGATAATCTAAAGAAGATAAGTTACACTATCTAACAAAGTGTTTTAAATTGTGATCATAATTGGACAATAATTTTGACTCTTCTACCGAGCACCAACTTTGAAATTAAAAGAGCATGATTAAACATTTGACCTGTAGAGGGCACACCACCCCTGCAATTGCATATGGTCATGTGACAGACGGCTGCGCTCTTTATACCATGTTCTGCAACCTGGCATTTCTGCATGCTCTAATGTGGTGTGGCTACCTTTGAAGTGTGTCACTGCTTGTTTCTTCTCTTGTGCGTTCTCTCTGCATGGCCAATCACAGGGCCAATGCTGTTTTTCTCTTTTCAGGTGCCTCTCACCTGCCTCAGGGCTCCCTTCTCTGTTCTTCCTGTTTCATATTCTTTCTCAAGGAGAGGCACTGGCTCCTCTTTCGTGAAATTCAGCTGTTTCAATCATGTGAACGGTTCCAGGTATCCCAATAAATAACTGTTGCTTTGAGCTTTGCAGCTAGTCTCTTTCTGTAGAAACTGCTGTCCAACGTCACCTTCAATGCTATCTGTCCTAACAGTGCTGTGTTCATAGTAGAACCAAGGTCCCCAATATTGTTCAAGATAGCCACACCCTCCCCAGGGACAGCGGCTTCTCTTGCTATGGAGATGTTTTTTTCCTCTCCAATTTTGATTCCATTAAGCAGAGATATTACAAGGTGAGCCTACAACAACAAAAAACCCAATAATATTAAAAAAAAATAGTTCCAAATAGGAAAATCAAATAATGATCTTGCAGGAAAACAAGCAAACAAAACAATAACAACAGCAACAATACCCAAACAACCTTGAAAACAAATACCAGAAAGCATAGGGTTGTGGTCTTGCCCGTTCCTTGTTAACTCTTGACTGGCTATTTTGAGGCAAGCAAGTGTACAGAATAGCTTAGCCATCTTAAACTCCACTTGGCTTAGACTGTACTCATACCCTCTAATCATAATGTACTTACCTGCACAGACTATGAACACGATTCCCATTCCTGTATACCTGTTAGAAACAAAAGATTCCCACTTGCATTAAGACACACACACACACACACACACACACACACACACACACACACACACACACACACACCACTATAAAAAATGGAGTCAGTTTCTCTTTCTCTCAGTGACCACCACACTTGGACAGTTTCCCTTCAAAGGTTATTTCCAATACTTCCTAGAAGGGCCAGTCCTGCCTGAACAGGTTTTTGATGTAGACAATGAGGCAAAACTATGAGTCTTCGGGTGTCTATTTGGTGAGAATTCTCTATCTACCATGTTATGCATAATAGAATGTGAATAGGATTAAAATCAGATTCAATATGGGAAAAGACACATACAATGGGCAAAGGCTTACATAATTTCCTATCAGTAAAAATGAGGACCCACACAAACTATACTGCTTAGTAACCAGCCATTCTTTCTCTCAAATCCCCAAAAAGGAAGCTCTAAACAATAACTGGGCCCCTTATATACCCTCACTGTCAATGGCCTGCTGTCAATCATTAGATTTATTCATTTTATTGACTTGTTTATTTATAGTGTGTGTGTGTGTGTGTATACTATGTCACAAATAAAGGTTAAAGGGCAACTTGTGGGAGGGGTGGCAAGCACCTTTATCTACTGAGCCATCTTCCCAGGCCTATCATTTTGTCTTTGAATAGTTTTCTTGCTACCTACTTATGGAAATCTGTGTGAATGCTTATTTCATTTATTTAAATAAGAATCCCAGACCAGGAAACAGGTAGCCCAGACTCTGACTGCCCACTAGGGTTTCTCCCTTGAGCTTTTGGTTTGCAATTTCCTTGTGTGAAATTGTTCTCCATTCATGACACCCAGCCTTGTTTGTTCTTTGTCTGTTCCCATGTCCTCTGTTCCAGCCACAAGAAAACAAGACAAATTTACAGTATATCCCCAGCACCATTATGTTCTGCCCATGGCCTTTTCACAGAAAATATCATGGATGTTTTGTTATGCTATCCATCAAAAATAAATCCCTGTTTAAAACATTGCATGTTATTTAATGGTCAGATATTTGAAATCTATTTCCAGTGGAAAGACTCATCAAAATAGTCTCTTCTGATACCAAGGGAGAGAATTTATTTAAATCTACATAGTAACAGAGAAAAATACTATGCATTACAGCACAAAACAGCATGAAAAATGCCACTAATGTTCTCCAAATCACATAGTGGCAAGAAGATGGGGAGAAGAGTTATCCATAAGATGACAGATTTGCCAGAAACTGAGAGAAGACTGGGAGGAGCTCGCCTTTGTAATTCTTCACTAGGTTGGCTTTCTGTCTCTGGTTTTACTATGAAATGCACAAGCATTTAAAAATCATGTTTATACACTTAAACACATGTATATTTGTATACATCTATTCAACATACGTGTATAAACACAAACACATACTACAATCTAAGTTTATATAAAGGTCACTTATTTTTCTTGACTTAAAAATATTATTTTCTATGTAATTATTTGACTTATTAAGTTTTGGCTATTGTCCTTTTCATAGGCAGTGATGTCTCCATTGTGCAAGCAGTGGTTCTATACACCTGTCATTCTTCTGTACTATACTATGCATAAATGAAATTTCTTGTATGGGATATGAAAATACGGATTTTTTTCCTAAGTACTAAGTACAAATTGCCATCCCCAAAATAGTGACTAAGAGTTCTTATTTCCACACATTCTTTCAATACATGCTTGGTCAGTGTAATGGGGGATTAACTAGGGACTTATAAATGTTAATCTATGAGCAGGTAGCACTCAAAAGACTTAATTATATAATCTAATGTAGCACAAGTCTTAAAAGGTCTTATTAATAAAAATAAACCTGAAGCCAGGTATGAGGGTGAATGCTGGAAGATCAGAGAAGCAGAACAAGCCACAGCCTCGCCAATTCCTCAGCTGATTCTGTTTCCTCAGACTAGAAGCCTCTGAGTCCTCAGATGGAGTGAATCTCAGCTGAACTGCTACTCAAAAGCCTAAAAGCTTAACCAGGCTCTAGTTCCTGGTCCTTACACCTTAAATACCTTTCTGCCTCCTGCTATCTCTTCCTGGGATTAAAGGCATGTGTCACCATGTCTGGCTGTTTTCAGTGTGGCTTTGAACTCACAGAGATCCAGATGGATCTCTGCCTCCGGAATGCTAGGATTAAAGGCGTGTGTGCTACCATTTCCTAACCTCTATGTTTAATATTGTGGCTGTTCTGTTCTCTGACCCCAGATAAGTTTATTAAGGTGCACAATTTATTGGGGGACACAATATCATCACAATCTAAGAAAAGTAAATAACTTCATGTGCATTTCTTTTTTCATCTGCTCTGACTTCATTGTCATGAAATAATAGTGACAAGTTTTATGACTTTCTGATTATAAAATTGATGACTAGACATAGAAATCTAGGTGTAAAAGGACTGTGAGTTAGCAGTATAAAGATTCCTTTCAATTTTGCTTATAGCAATATTTCCTATAATATGAAGCCATGTGAGCATCCCATCAACAGCACCTGCATCATGCATTTCTACTCATAAGTCTAATCTTCAATTTTTCCCCTATCAACAAATACATTATGGAACCAAGCAGGATATAAGTAAATAAATGAGTAAGAGAAAGAAAAAAAAAACAAATATGAGGAAATATTGTTGGTATTATCCAGAACATAGCTATCCATGAAATGTGAAAAAAAAACCCAACCTTTTAACGTGAACTGATATTCCTTATTGTTAACACTACTATTTATTTACACAATTGTGAATAAACATCACACCTGAGTGCATTTACTTACTGTTTACTCAAACCTGCTCTTTTAACACAGCATTTTATTAACGTACACATTTAAAAACACTTATTAGCTTTTCACTGTGTTCATGGCATCATGAAGAATCTAATGACATGGCTCCACCCTGGGGAATGTGTACCTTAGTGCGATATCACAACAGAATTCAATAATCTACCAATTTCTGACAATTAAAAGTCAATTTCTACCTTCTTAAAATAAAATGACAGAACTCATTCTCTTTCTGAAAAACCATTTAATTAGTATCAATAGCATCTTCAAATGAGATCGACAATTAATTGTTTCACACATGCATGTTAAATTCCCTCCTTTTCTGTTACTTTCCGACACGAGAGTAATAGTTATTGCAATATTCATTTGTGAGTAATGAGAGTAATAAATTGCATCATGCTTCTTTTCTGGCAGTAAGAAATGTTTCAATCTGCTTTTTTTCTAACAGAAGAAGAAACGATAACATTTTAAAGGACCAGAAAGGAAAGAAAAGAATCCTAGGCATTCAAAAGAACAGATCTGACTTGATTTCTCACACATTGATCTAGATCCCCCATTGACTTGGGTAGAGTAGAAATGACAGAATTGGAAGACCTTTGACTCCATTTGTCCACATGTATAAATGGTCTCTGGTCAATAGATTGCAAATCCTACGCAAGAAGCAGATGTTAGCTTATTGCTCTTTACATTGTTTCAGCCTTGTATATTTAGCTCAAAGACTCAGGTGGGATGGTGTTTGGACAGAAATCTGTCTGCATGGCCACTTACCTGTTAAGGCACAATGAAAATTCAATAATCTCTGATGCTATCCTGACAGTGTAAGAGGGAAGAGAACATTTTGAGACCTTCTGGCTTATATGAATTTTTCAGAGAGAGAGAGAGGGAGAGAGAGACAGAGACAGAGAGAGAGAAGGGGGGAGGGCTGGAGATACGAAACAAATGGAAAGATGAACAGATATTACCAATCTTCAGAGACCTCAAAGTACCCCAACAAGAACTCTTCTGCCATTTCTTTTTTTTAGTCATTATTTGAGTTACAGTTACCTTGTGGCTACTTTTTTTTTTCTCTCAACGTCTGTCCGCATCTTCACAAATACCACCAAAATACTGCAACGAGCCCTTCAGTTACTGCAGCCTCCAGCCCAGCATCTCTGTATACCACTGCCTTCACTGGCTGAAGCTGTACCACACAGAGCCAGGGCAGCTGCAGTTCAGAGGCAGCCAGCTAGACCAGTTGTTTTGTGCAGAATATTTTCTTCCCTTTTCTAGCATTAAAAAAAAAAAAAAACTTCCCCGAGTTTCAATCCCCCAGGAGCAAACCTCCCATGAAAATGAGGTAATTGTTGTAATAAATATACATTAAATATATAGGCAAAACATGTCAGAATCAATTTATGCTTAACAGTGCATGTTTATTCTTTACTTCTTGTGCTATTTATGGGCTAAGTCATTGAGAAAATAGCACATTTGAAAGGATGCTTTGCTAAGCAATAGCTAAGAGTGAGATGAGACCCTACAAACCACAGTGCTGGGTAGCTTTTATCAACTTGACACAAAACCTAGGCATGACTGTGAAGAGGAACTCTCTGTTCAACTTCCTTCTTCAAACTGTCCTATGAGCATGTCTCTGTGTGTGTGGGGATATCCTTGCTGGCTAATTGATGTAGGAGGGTCCAGTCTACTGCGGGTGGTCCCATCCCTGGGTAGATGGGTGTGGTTTCTATGAGAAAGGTGTCTGAGCAAGCCTGGGAGAGCAAGCCAGTGAGCTGCGCTCCACTCTGGTCTCTACTTCAATTCCAGGTTCTTGCCTTGAATTTCTGTGTTGACTTTCCTAGGTGATGTAGCCAGCCAGCCAAGTAAACTGTTTCCTTACCAAATGGCTTTTGGTGTTTACCACAGTAACAGAAAGCAAACTGGGACAGCCATGCAGAAGGATGCCTCATTAAATAGAAGGCAAAAGTTTTGTAGGAAAACCAAGGTCTATGTTTGCTCTTTGTTTATTTCACTTCTTTTTACCTAATTGATAAAATGCTGATACCTTTATTGGCTTCTCCTTGGCTTTCACAAAGTGTTCACCAAAAACAATGGAGTAATTTCCACAATAATTTTGTTTATAGTTTGGGTCTTCCTTCTTAATCATGAGCAAATTCATGAACCACGAAAATGAATGAGAACTGCAATATTTATCCTTCCTTTAAATCATAATCAGCTATGATCTAAACCAGCTGCAAATGACTGCTACTGTGGGTTTGGTTTTTCTAAAAATATAGGTTACTGTGATTTTTGTAAAATACATTATTGAGGTATTCTTTAAAAAATTAAGAAATTCTTTTAAAATTTTAAAAAATTTAGGCATGGAGGCTTCTAGTTAACTATGTTTTGATTATACTTGCTAACATATCCAATACATATGAATTTTGTGACATGTCACCTTGATCCATAGGCTCTGAAGGAGTAGTCATAGGATGTCAATTCAGATAAAGTTACTGAGTCTCATGTGCACCAATAATAGCCCATGGTCTAAGGCTAAAAGAATGTGGAACCCAAAAATCAGTGTAGTAGAGAAACTGCATGTGCAAAACTCTACAGTATGATATGTGTGAAAAGCAACAAGGAAATGATAGCTCCTTCACGGGTTGTACTCCTACAACTATGCCCTGCTGAACCTTATTTCTTCTAAGACTGTTTTTGTAAGGTGGAATAAGAGGCAATGTATTCTTGATGAATGAGGATATTGCTAAGTGACCATGAAATTGTGGTGGCCTTGGTGTATGAAGTAAACATATCCATAAAGAATGCATCTAAGTTAATTTAAAACAAACTATTATTGACTTTTATTTAAGAAATGATTTACAAATCCTTTCTTCTGTTTCTATGAGTACTGTGTTCAAATTCTGTATTGAAAAGGGTGAATCATATTTCTATTCTCTATAATGTTATTTTTTTCTTTTGAAGGTCCTTAGTTGGTTTTCTCATACAAATTGTAAGCTATATATGTAAATGTAATTAAAAGCCTTCTGGAAAGTTATTTAAAATATTTGTTAAACAGTTGAAATTAATTTAACATGTTTCATCTGTTTTTGTTATAGTACCATGCTATTTATATTACTATAGCTTTGTAATATACCTTGAACTCAGGTATGGTGATTATCTCAAGCAGTGTTTTATTGTTCAGAACAGTTTGTACTTGCCTGGATACTTTGTGCTTTCATGTGAAATTTGAGATGATCTTTTTTCAATTTCATTAGAATTTTTAGGAGAATCAGTAGTGTGCCTTTGATAGAACAGCCACTTGTTTTTACAATATTAATCCTACCAATCCATGATCAAGGGAGGACTTTCATCTAGTACCTTCCTCAATTTCTTTCTTCAGTGTCTCAAGATTTTTATAGTACAAACCTTTTACTTTCTTGGTTTGGTTATTCTAATATTTTATTGAGGCTAATGTGAATTGAATTGCTTTCATGACTTTGTGCTCAATATGTTTTTTGCTGTTGTATAGGAAGCTATTTGATTTGTGTGTATTGATTTTGTATCCTGTTACTTTGATGCAGGGGATTATCAACTTCATATGTGTTTAAACTGGAATATCCATTGGAGGTAGGAAATGAGTAAGGAACTATAGGGTGGGAGCTTCAGTGGAATGGAATAGAATGCAGGTGGTATAAAGGGGAATAGGTAAATAATGGAACAGAAGAGGTTAAATGAAGTAGGGGATGGGAGGGCAGAATAGAGGAGGAAGTATGGAGAGGTATAAACAACACAAAGGACCATTTGAAAGTGTTATATGAAAATCTAGTACTGTAGAAGCTTCATAAAATGTATACATATGTATCTATAAAAGGAATTCAGTTATCCTATAGCAGGAACAATACCTCACCTGAACACCATAGGCTATCACATAAGACCTCCAGTGTCAGGTATGGCTTACCTTTTCTTGAGTAGTGGTCAATGGGGGCAATAGACTCCACAAACACTAAAAGCTACTCCAATTGCCCTAGATTTTCATCCATAACTTGACCACAAGACCATCTTGCAGAAGATATCACATACTTGAACCATAGAACATGGAAAAACCAAGCCAATACCATCCTGGAATCTTCATTTCTACTGGCTAGCTTCATGGTTCTAAAAAGTGTTCTGCATGGTGCTGAGGGACAATAAATAATAGTCTTACTCAGATGTGAACCCTGCAAGTTACAATTACAAGCAACTTGAAAAGATAAATGTGTTTGCTGTGGACATCACTCTGTATGCTGTTAATGTGTTGCTCTGATTGGTTAATAAATAAAATGCTGATTGTCCAGTAGTCAGGCAGGAAGTATAGACAGGATAAGCAGAGAGGAGAATTCTGGGAACAGGAAGGCTGAGTCAGGAGTCACCAGCCAGGCACAGAGGAAGCAAGTTGTAAAGGCAGAACTGGGAAAAGGTACCAAGCCATGTGGCTAAACATAAATAAGAATTATGGGTTAGTTTAAATGTCTGGTATTGCTAACTAGGCCAAAAAATTCATGGTTGGTGTTGTGGTTTGAATGAGAACGGTCCCCACAGTTCACATATTTGAATGCTTGATCTCACAGCTGTGAGATCATAAATATAAAAATGAGGTCAGTAAGTAATACCTCATTGTGCATGCATTGTACATGTTTCTATGCAGACTTGGATGATTAAAAAAAGTCAGTATTAACCTGCTTTTTCTCTTTACTTTCTATTTCATCAAATACTGAAATAATAGGAAATAGGAAATTTGTATACAGAAGAATACTTTATAGCAATCATTCCATAAAATTTAGGGTGGGGGAATATGGTGGTATTCTATTTGTACTGAAATGTGATTTTATTTGTATGTTAATAAATAAAGTTGCTTGGGGGTCAGAGCTAATAGCAAGCCATAGCAGAGCTGGGCATTCATGGCGCACGCCTTTAATCCCAGCACTTGGTAGAAGAGCTAGGTAGATTTCTGTGTGGTCAAGGATACAGCCAGCATTGAAGACACACACCTTAAATCTCAATACCATAGAAGACCTGGAGAGCTGTACAAACAGGCAGTGACGAGGCAGTCATGTGTTTGGTTTACAACCAATGAGAAGGCAGAACAGAAAGACTATATAAAGATAAGCACACAGGAAGTAGGTCTCTTTCGGAGAGGTCTCTTGGCTGAATAGGCTAGCTGCAGCAGGCGCTAAGGCTCTTAGCTCTGATCTCTTGGCTTTCTTCTTTGCATTGGTTCTGTGTTTCTTATTTAATAAGACGGTTGGTTACATCTACAGGGGAATAAGAGACTGAGTGCATTGTGGTGGGATTGAAGGGCTTTGCACATCAGACACCAGATGTGTATCATCAGATGTCTGGAGACACCAGAGAGAGTGATATGGAAATGGAGAAATGGAGAGAGAAGGGAGGGACATGACAAACCTGAAATGACAGGACTGTATAAACTAATCACAAAGGCATCTAAGATATAGACTAACAGATGCAGCTAAGGTATGAAAAAATAGAGAACTGATGTTCTTTTAAAAGTCAGACCAAATTAGAATAGGAAACATGATTGCTGGAAACAAATTAGGGAGTCTGGGATTATTTTGATCATTTTTGGAGTTTTGATTTTCCAGAAACTAAGGTTATATTAGATTTTGTTAAATTTATTTATCTTTTTAAATTTTAATTGAAAAAAAGTACAATATTGCAATCACACTTTTCCCCTTCCCCAGGTCTTCCCTGATCCTTCACAACCACCCAGTCTATACCCTTTCTCTCGCTCTTAGAAAAACAAACAAGAAACACACATACCACAAAAATGAAAGCCAAAATATACAAATAAAATGCCAATTAGACAAAAAAAATGCATTCTAGCTAGCAATAAGCCTGAACCATAGACCAAACAGTTTGTAATTAATATTAAATCTCTGAGTGATTATTTTAAAAGTAGCCAGGGGACTGTGGGACGGGGCAGAACAGAGAAAAGTGTCCAGTTACAAGGTATCTCATTGTCTCATCCACACTCAAAAACATTTGAGCAAGACAACTTTCTGCTTTTCTTCAAATTTCACTGCTAACATTGTCTTATCTGTCAGTTCACACACTAAAATTACTTCTATTGCAAACATTTCTTTTTCTTTATCTGCTCCATTTTCAGCCATGAGTTCTTTTGTGATATTGTG